GTGGGAATAAAATTTTACACACAGTGGTACTCCCTCTCTTATTAGGCTTGGGCCAAAAACTTGATATCCCTGGCACAAAATTGTTTTCGAACACCACTACTATCCCCTTTCTGATCTGATCTTGCGCCCTTCTAAACCTATGGTCCATGGGATACTTTGGGGTAATGGGATCTGCTCACTTGGGAATGGGACAAGCCCGTTGCCTTTGTTCAGTGAATGGTTGAGGCGCTTTGAGGGTCCTGATGTCCAGACTCGGTCGATTGTTTGTAGATTGCTCGTTGACACACTTGGAGCAGCTCCTTAATCCCAGGAACATCTTTTTCTTGGTAATGCTGTTTGGAAATCTTTCGGCACCTTTGTGAGATTTGGGAATTTCGCTTAGCCTCTGTACTTTGTGGGATGTATACCTTTCGTTCAATGTTTGGGCATCCCATTTTTATGTTACCCTCCTAGAGAATTGCAATTGCTTCATTGTCCGCTAAGCTTGGGAGAGCGTTTATAATTCGTGCGCAAACCTTTTCATGCCATTTTCTTCGGTGTAACTGGAGTTTGTGCTTGCCAACCGACTTCAGACAGGACTTCTAGTACTTCATGATTGGATTCTTTGCCCTGGGGAGGGTGGATTCGCTATGGACGGCTACTCACCTATTAGCAATTGTTTCCAGAGCAGTAAGTTCTTTTCAAGAATTCAGAGAGCCTAGCGGTAGTTTGCAATGTGCTTAGGTTTCTTCAGAATCATAGCTACTTCTCCCAAAAGAATTATTATTGTTGGCGTGATGTTCAGCTTGAGCATAATCCTTCTCAGGATGTTTTTTTTTTTTGAATTTTTTGTTCGTTTTGCTTTCATTGACATTCGGCTAACTGACAAAAGATGGCTCAAAAAAGTGGAATACTCCCAAAATGGAAATGATAGGGTTTTTATGTCAATTCAACTCATAGCAGAGTGCTTTGTAAAATGTAGCGCACCCCTCTTGCTTGTCCATGGTAAAGTTTGAATGTCGTTCAAACAAGGTAAAAGGGAAAGGTATTAGTAGGTGAACAATTAGAGCAAAAGAAGGGCGACCGAGGTAACGGCGAGGGATGGGGGAGATAGATGGATTATAAATAGGCTGAAACAGTTGAAGTATGGATTGCTGGCATGAGTGCAAAAAATGGAAGGGTAGGGAGAAGTTTGTTCAGAATTCGAACAAAACCATTACTGTGAAAATCTCGCTTTTTTGGCAGATTTTTTCTTTTTGGCACAATGCAGGTCACAGGGCAGAATTAGAATAAATCAAAACAATTCAGTCAGAGGTGCTGGAAAAGTAGTATGTGGGGCGTAATTGTTCATTTCTTCTTTTATTTTTTTTGTAAGGATGTCCGGAAAGCTTTGAGAAAATTTTGTATCTCAACTTTGCAAATAGTTTGCGCGCGAATGCGCCAGAACAGGACTATAAAAGTAGATGCGGGAAACGGCTACTATTTATGGATCAACACTATAGCTGATCCATACTCGGCCTTGTTGTTGGAAGTCAACGTCAACCGAACGATGAGTGATCGACACTACTATCGATGCCTTCTATTTCATTGCTACCATCTTGGCCGCTCAGCCACTCGAGCCCGTAATGAATTCCAGTCATCGATGGGCAGTACTGCACCCTCTCTTGTCACCTGCTATAGGTGGTACGGTCGCTTCTCTAGAGGAGAAATTCACTTCGACGAAGCGCCACTGAGCGGACGTTCACGTTCTTCCAAAACCGACATCTTAGCCTCCGTTCAAGCCAATCTTAATCGAAGCTTGAGGGATATGGAGATGACGACTTCTGCTCCCCGTTCCACAATTCACAACATCCCACGCAGACGTCGTTTCGCGCAGCACTTCCTGCAGTTATCCCCCTTGACCGGCTGACCGACACCACCTGACTTTGACTGAGCACGAGCGTCAGTTGCGGACCGATGTGAGTCAGAAGCTACTCGGCTGCAAGCGAATGGTGGCTTGGACGAGCTTCATCATTGCTCAGGATGAGAAGTGGATTTATTATGAAAATCCACACAGGAAGTTGCAGTGGCCATCAATCGACATAAGGCTAGAAGCCGTTGCAAAGCGAGGGGTACATGCAAACAGGGTATAATCTCGTTCTTCTTCTGCTCCGCCGGCTGTTTGTACTATGAGATACTACCTGAGGGTCCTGCTGTGTCTGCAAGAGTATTCTGCGAACAGCTGCGGGAGATGGTGTCTCGAGCACCGATCTCCCATCGAATGCAGGGAGAGTTTCTGATTTTGATGGACAACGCTCAACCACACCATGCCAAGGCGACGGCTGAGGAGCAGGAAAGGCTTGGGATTACTTGGCTACCTAGCGACTACCGAGCTTTCAGGCGTCTACAAGCTTACCTCATAGGGAGAAAATTTTCAGATCGTCAGGTCTAGTGTGCAGTAGACGAATGGGTCGCGTCGCGCCCCTCTCGTTTCTGGGAGGATGGCATCAGTGTTCCGCCCAATCGATGGAAAGATGTTGTGGCTAGGGAAGGACATTATCTTGAACACTGATCTCACGTTATTGTTGTAAACATTTTGTGTTGAATTAACCAGCTGAATTTTATCAAAGCTTTTCGGACACCCTAATATAAACTCAGTGAAACATGGGATCTTCTCAGATGGACTTCGAGGGCTCATAGTTGCCTTTCGGCTGGTCGGCTAACAAAATGACGATACGTCTGCATTGAATGAATTTGCCTGTGATCAGATTTTTTATAGGTCTCAGGCGGGACTGTGGTGTTTCAGGGGATTATCTGGGATTGGGCATCAGTAGAAGGGAAGAAGCCACCACTCCTCTTATTCCTTTCGCTTACTCCTTGATGTTCGGGGGAGAGGGTAACGTGCTGAAAATATTATTAACTTTTCTTGTCGTCGTACTTTCTATCCTGTGATGCAACGACAGAAATTCGAGTCATTACCCATTGTTTCCATTTTTTCGAATTCGAGAATGCCTCTCCGGCTTTGCTGTTTCCATCGCTGCTAGGGTAGTCATCGCATAAAAATGGTCTTCTCAAAGTTTGAATCTCTCGAGCTTAGTTGATCGTCAACGTTTCCTTCAGATGATCCATCGAATAATAGCTGGGCTATCCCTTCGTCCCATTGAAGATCCAGTATCATACGCCGTCGGACGTTTTGGACTTTTTTCAACGTCTCATGGAAATCAATCGATGACTGTTTCTGCAGTAGTGACAATATCGATTAACGTGGGCGCATCAGCTGGTTTCTCGATATCCCCTGGAATAGGATAGGATATAGGAATGGGAAGGAGTGCTTTAATTCCTTTTCTGGCGTCTACTTGATAACACCCTCAACAATTTTCTTCTTTGCGCCTGCAAGAACTCTGTTACAAACCGACCCTTCACTTTCTTCCTCGAGTCACCCTTCATTGGTGCCGCTGTCGATTGAATTGGGAAATATCTCATCGATCACTCCATTCGCCACCAACGCTTCTCATACC